GGTGTTACCATGACATTGATGGCACTATATAAATCAAAAATAATAATTTGCTATGGAGTAAATAAGTGACAGAATGCAAAGGAACATTTATTCAGAAAAGTCTTGCCAAGAACGTCAGACCCTTGAAAACTGCAGATGTTCAGGAAGTAAGGTAACAATATACTACACACTGAGAGTTTCAGTGGATAGGATGCAGCACAATAGAGTGAAAATCAGGGCTCATGTAAAATGCACTAATTTTCTAGAAATCCAAATGCATAACCCCAAACCAGGGCAAACATTTGCCAATATTAAATCAAACCAAAACCTGTCATAGTATCATCAGCCGTCATCCTTGGTGTACAGGGGAGCTTCTAAAAAACCACACTTGGGAAAGGCCAAACCAAGGCCACATTCTAGACAGCTCTGCTTGGGAGGCAAGATAGCCATGTGACTTAAAACAATTTGCTAATTTATTGGGAATGAATTAATGGATAACTATTCCTTGATCATATGGTTGTCTAGCTCCCGGTCTGGAAGTTGGTCTTGGTTACTACTTCACCAACTAATACACACCAAAGTGATGTAGGAAATAAAAAAATTAAAAAAACATGTATATTAACCAACCGATGAGTGCAAACGTAAATTAGACTTCTTTGAAGGCCAACCTCACTGAAAACAGGGAATCTAGGGAATGAGTGGAATCATCTTCTGACTTCTTATATCTCTCATATGTTGGTAAGATTGCCTCGAGGTAGCATGATGCTGTTATGGCTCCCACAAGACCTTAATAAAAGTGTCACCTACAGCTTGGCTCTTCAATTACCCATTTATTTGGCATGACAGGAAATCTATCATGGAAGTGTGACACCAAAATTTGGTTTTAAATTGACCACAGTGGTTGGGCAGAACTGATAATTCTTATGGGAATAGCTTGTCAGGGTAGTTTTGTAGAAATTTAAGAAGCCTACATGTGATTCAGCTTACCAGAGTTATACAGAACTAGAATATCTACTCTTGGTACAGTTGACCTTAAATACTCATCCTCAACACCCTAAAACTAGTATACTGAACATATGTTGGGAAATCTGTGCTTCAGTGTCAGGCTTTTCACAAAAATTGTTTGCTTGGTGACAAAATCCCTTTCAAGAGAATTGGGCAAAAATAGACCAGGGCAGCACAGCCAAAAATATAAACACAGGTGCAGTCGCAGAATGAAGATATAAAGGAAGATATAAAGTAAAAGAGAGAGAGACCCATACATATTACTTGTCAATATTATAAATAAAACGAGTTGAGTTTTGTGGACCAGCATGTGTCCCCTCCCTAGATAAACCAATGTAAGGATTTCAGATATTCCAGCAAACCACTCTAACAGGCATATTTTAGAAGCACATGTAAGCTTGCCAAAATCAGCAACATTACTGATCAATAAGACTAAGCTTGTCCAAAGAAATGCCTTTGTATTTTGGATATCACAATCTGACAATGACAAGGTTCTACTGAAATCTAGTTCTAGTTGGCTAAAATCTAAATGAAACCCAACCGCAATCTTTACATATGCTCTACAATAAGCTATCTCCACAAATGAATCCTGGCAGTGTGCCTGGATGACTCGGTCTCATGGTAACACACATGTCCAAGCAGTCACATGTCTGGTCATTAAATAAAACTGGATTTTAACTGGCCAGTGTAACACAGGGCATGTGAAAACCAATTATAGTTTAGAACATGTAAAATGATATCCTATTATACAAAGTTGGTTTCATTAACCAGCTATTGTAATTTACTAAAGAAGTCCACTAAGCAATGTTGGAATAAAGACATTAAAAGGAGAACTATGGGGTTAAGTCTTTTCCCCATAGTTCTCCTTAGGGTAACGGGAGGACACAAACTAGCGTCCTCCCGCCACCCTAGGCTCAGTATACCATGAGCTGTAGCAGCTGCTCACGGTATACTGAGACGCCGCAGCTGAAGCGGATCCCGACAATTGTGCCGGGATCCGCCCAGCTGCGTGACTGACAGCTGGCTCTGTCTATCTAAAGGCAGAGCCAGCTGTACCCGCCCCCTCCCCCGTCCGTTCCGCCAGTCAGCGCTAGCGGGGAGGGGGGAATCCAGCCCCTCCCCTGTCACAGCAGAGAGCCGTGACAGGATCGAGAGGTGAGCGAACGCCGGTATGTGTTCGCTCACCTCCCGATCTACTGAGCCGACCTGTGACAGTCTCATTGTCACAGGTCGTCTAGAACTATGAGGTGAGTGAAAAGCACTCACCTCATAGTTCTCCTTTAAGAGTCATAACATATTGTAACTGCAGTTTCTCAAAAACAACAAACCTTTATGTGAAAAAAGCTTTTGTCTCCAACACATATTGTACATGTGAATTAATCCTCCTACTTGGCATGTCAAAACTGTCAACGGAGGGGAAAGACAATATGATATTCTGCCTGTCTGGTTCAAGAGATGAGTTAACTTGTATACAATATGAACATCATTTGCCTAATAAACAAAATTGTAAAAAGTATTTTTTTATTGCCAGAGATTGGAGGCCAATGATCTCCTTGATGAACTCTGAATCATGGCATTGTCAACCCACTGAAATCTGATAACCCTAGTCCAGCAACATTAAATCCCGACTTATTCACAGGAAAACGTACAGTATACTCCCACCACTATGGCGAAAATAACACCATCTATTATTAATGCCAGAGATTCTCTAGAATCCATTAGCTGTGTCACATGTAAAATTTGTGCTGCCTATGGGTCACAATTATCCTCAAAAGGCAAAGAAAGACAAGTGACCATAGTAGCAGTATGCCTGGCGATCTAATGAACGTCAACAAGACAAATGATTGCTGGCTTCCCCTGTGCCAATTCAGAAAGGTTTTACAGCAAAACTGAAAGAAACATATAAATGCCTCAACTGCAATACAAGCAATTACCAGAAGCAAATTAGACCCATCCCTAAAGGCAAGCCTAAGTCGCTTCTACTTTTAGTTCAAGGCTAGCTGGAAGCCATACAAGCTTGTGTTAATAAACATTTATAAAATGCTCATGATGCACTAAACATTCCCTTCTTTAGTTTTATACACAGTAGATGACCTGGCAAAACACAGCAAGAAAAGGAAAAATAAGATGCCGTGCAAATAAAAACGTTACAAAAAGCTAAATTAGATATTTCCACTTCCTGGCACTTTGGTCAGAGGCCTGAGCTGATGTAAGTGGAATCCACATTGTTTTGGATATACCAGTTGTATTTGGTAACTGGTAGTAAGTGCAAAAAAAAAAAAGCCCACCCACACCTTTAGGACCGACCATAAAAGTGAACTGCCCCCTCATTCAAACCCTAAAAAGCAAACCTGTGTCATGGAAGTATGGATGGTGCTGAAACTAGGCATGCCTGAAAATGTTAGTTTCATGGCTGAATCAAAAGGTTTCAGTACTTTCAAATCCACTGGCCCAGGACCAGTATAAAAGTTGGGAGAATACAAAACTATTGAAATCAATGGATGAGCATAACAGGCAGGTAGCATTTCCTAAACAAGGGATCGCCAATTGTATCTCTCCAATTATGGGTTTCCTTTAATCTAACCACTAAAGCCTAACTCTGAGCTGCTAATACAGTTGGGTTCCCCCTGATCTAGCTGAGGGGAGAAGGAATAAGTTGAAATACTTACCTTCTTCCTCATTCCCCAGTCACCCTTCTCCATTGTGTGAGCCATCCCTCACCATCCTCCCATACAATGCAAGACTGCTGGTCCTGCATTGTACATGAAGACATCAGAGAGCTGCAACTGGCTGAACAGTGAAGGGTAGCAGCTATGGGGGACCGCTCACATGGAGCGGAGGAAGCCTGCGGGAACGAGGAATAAGGTAAGTATTTGTACTTATTCTTTTCTTCTCTAGTCAAATGATCATTCACCCATGCAGTCTTTTCTTCTCTAGTCAAATGATCATTCACCCATGCAGTTTTATTCCTAACACTTTATCTAACCCTGTAACCTAATCTATAACACTAACCCCGGCCCCCTAATCTGAACCCCTAACCCCAATCTAAGCTTTAACACTTGAAGTGACTGTCACTGTTTTTAAAGGCGGAAGAGAAGTCCTCCCTGGAAGCAAACAATACTGGACCTGCCCCGCTGCCTGTGCCACCCAATTCCACTGGGTTAAAGGAGTTACAGAAAAAATGTCAGCATTGGGCACACTTCCAGGTATGTTGGATGCCTAGCCCTGCATTGTGCTCTGAGTTTTCATCCACCGACCCCCTATGTCACTACAGGACAAAGTAATGACAAAGGGGTCGGCAAATAAAGCCACAGCGGGGGACCAACACTCCCGGAAGTGCGAGTCAAGCTGTTAATCTTTCAGCCACTTTTCTCTTCAACTCAGTGGAACTCGTTGGGGCAGGTAATGGAACATGTAAGTATAAATTGCTTGCTTGCAGGGAGGCCCTCATTTTTTAAATGCAGCAAGAGTCCTTTAACCTGACCCTAATCTTATTTCTCTTGCTGGAAAGCATCAGGAGATACTGCACCAGGAAAGGTGTGTCAACAACCTGGGTCCCTGTGCCACAAATAAGCAATGCCAGCTTCTCAACAATATTTTTTTTTTCTTTTAAACAGCTGAACAATTGACCAATATATAGACATCCGATTTTATTAGGTGCCACAGAGAACTATGTACCTTAAAATGATGTGAAAGAAGTCTTTGTGTTGTCCAAAGAGGCTATATGGACCCAAATATTCTAGTTTTCTACTACAAACTAGTAAGAATGGGATTGGTTGTGAGGACAACACAAACATGTCTCCTTTCAGACACGTGACCCCAGGTGCAGTCAACAACCTCAGCTTGAGTAAATTCTCTCAGTCAGGGTGCTAAAACCTGATTGGCCGCTGATTGCTCCTTGGGCAAAAAAAAGTTATCAGACGCCCCAAATCATTACGATGCGTCTGAAGTCCCCACCCCTTAAAAGTCAGTGCCCAGCAGGACATAAACCAGAGAATAATAGGAGAGTCACTTACCCTGATTTCATTCCTTCTGATCTCTACATCACACACAGAATGTCCTTGATGGGCACCACTATAATAACAGCAAAACTGGCACACCGCCACCTGCTCAGCTTCACAGTGGTACAGTCGATAAGCATTGTGTTGTGGACAGCTCCAGGCCCTGACGTCTTCAGCTTCCACTAGGAGGTGCCCTCGAGCAGTGGAGGGCTGCTGTAGGTGGGTCTGCACGTGGGACTGGCAGCAGGGCGCTTCACATCTCAAGCAGATCTTCTGGGCAGGAAGTGGAGGTCCCCTTCGACAGAACACACAGTGCAGGATGGAGGGTGGCTTATCTACATTGAGGCAATTAAATTTTTCCACAATGTTTGTGAGCTTAAGGTTCTTTTCCAAGTTGGGCTTCTGGTTGTAGGCCTGGTTGCACTCCGGGCATCGGACTAGACCAGTCTCTTTTGCCCAGGCCTCGCTGATGCACCCTCTGCAGAAATTGTGCTTGCAAGGAAGCTGTACAGGCTCAATGAAGACATGCAGACAAATGGGACATATCAGCTCCTCTTCAAAGCAGTTTTTCCAATTTTCCGCCATCTCCAACTAGGCCACGTAGGTAACGTAGATCACGTTCTTGGTTTTACGGAACCCAAAACGACAGACTAGGCACCACCAATAAATGTCTTTGTCTTAAAATAGATCTCAATAGCTAAACGGTTAATTATATCTAATCAAAATTATATATTAAATCCTTTAACCCAGATCATTAAAGAGGAAAAAAAAAATTCAGCCAGTGAAAAATGATGAAGTCGTTAACGATACAATCTGTTTATGGGAGGGGGAAAAAAAAAAAAGATGTAATCCGATCATGAAAGTCTACGAAGGCATTTATTCCTTACCTCTCTCAAACCGGAATGGACAGAAAAGAAAAAAAAATCTGCAAAAATAAACAGAGAAAAAAAAAGCAAGCTGGGGTGGAAATCAGTAGATTAGGCTGTGCATGCCTTGATCAAACTGAAAAGGAATTTCTTAACAGCTAATCACAGCCCTCCCCCTTCTCTCGCTCTCTCTCTCTCCCCCCTCCTGACATGAAAGGTATTTCAGATTTTGCACTGAATCGGCAAGGGCACTGACAGTGGGGCCAAGCAGGGAGACCTAGGAAATTAACACATTGAATTTAAAGGGAAATTCAAAAAAATTTAAGCAGGTTCTGCTGTCATCAACTGCTAACATCCACCATGTGAACAAAAAAAAAAATCTATTTAAAGGATTCAGATGTCTACCTATTTCTTTTTTTTTAAAAGATCAATTCAGCTCAATCAAGGCAACTTGAAAATGGTCCTGCAGAATCTACTGGCCAGATCAAATTAAAATAAAAACATAGCTACAATGATCAGCCATCTTGATTCTTTAATCTGTTTTAATAAAATATAGTATTTTTTCCCCCGATCGTATATAAAAAAAAAAGTATCTTTAACACTTCGCCCTTTTTTTTTTTCCTTTTAATTGAAAAAAAGAAAGAAAAAATATTTTCAAGTCACTGTTTTCAACCGAGCAACAACTGAGCGCAGGAGCACAGTCAAAGGACTACAAACCCCCTCACCAACAGCTGGGTCATAAATAAAAAATATATTATTATTTCATAAAAAATATTTAGGATAAGTTGATCATGCAGACGTAGGAAAAAAAAAAGAAGAACACACACCACCTCTCTTGATTGATCTACCGGAATCGATACTGTATTGGTGAGATTCTTCTAGATTATTTATTTTTTTGTCAGCAGATATTCTGGGTTTTTGTTGTTGTTTTTTTTGATTGCCAGAAATTAGCTATTTTTTTGTTTTCTTACATTAAAAAAAAATGAGATCTGTAAAAAATAAAGTCTTTTATGGTCCTTGCAATGTCAGGATAGGAAAGCTGATCACCATTAATCAGTATTATTTCTCCATAAAGATGATGACAAAACCGTCATTAGTCCCAGCAATTGTGCTTCCCTTGTTAGGTCTTCAACGGTGATCCACATCTGTTTCCTGTCTGTAGCCTTCTTCTAGTCTCCTATATTTAAATGCCCCGAGTCACACACGCACAGAGACCCTCATCCGATCATGAACGCGCCTCCGCTTCCAGATCGCAGCTTCCTCCAAACGATCGCAGAAGCCGGCGGGGCCCCTCTGAGATGCCAGGGAAGTCTTGATGTGCCCCCACCCCCCAGGCTAGGGGCAAATTAGATCTACCGGGATGGGGTTCGAACCTGTGTCACCGCCTTAGCCTGTCTGTAGAAAGAGCGGAGCTCTCAGGCAGCAGACTGACTCGCAGCAGGCTCCGCCCCTTCGCTTGCTCTACCTGCGTCACGGCTTTCTTTCTCCTGTCCTTGCAATGAGAAGGACCGGGCGCTGGAAGCACGGCTCAGCAGCGACCCCTGTCTTTACTTTCAGTTCCGTCAGGGCTCTGTGCGGGTGCGCGCTTCCTGGCCGCCAGCCTAGGGAGCTGAGAGCGCTGCGTCAGGCTCAGAGTAATGTCCTCATGCACAGTAAGGTAAACAGAACGTGCTTTTACCTCAGTGACAGGGAAGTGGCAATAGAGCTTCATTCGCATTTTCAGGACATTAGTTTTGTAGCTTCTTTCTCTAATTAGTTCCTATTCACAGACTATTGTTCCATGAACGCGCACCAAATACAAAACGTGCAATGCACTTGCAGTGCTATTAGTTGTATTAGCTACTTTCTGCCATTTGTTGTGCATGTGGCACCCATTGGAATCAGTGGGTGACATGTGGCAAACGTGGGAAAAAACATGTGACGTGTGAACATAGACTATAGGCCGTGACACACTGCATGCGAGCAGGAAAGCAAAGCTGCGAGGTGTGGAGTTTTGCATGCAGTGTGCAAGAGCTTGAGTAGCTGAGCGCTAGCAGGTAAAGTACTTAATCTTCAGCCAATCAGCTCACACGTAACAACACAAGGGACTTCGCATCCTGACGTGCGGGTTTATACGCATGAGGTTATTGGCTGAGGATGACAATTTCATCTCAGCACGCTCAGCTATGCAATCTGACGCATCGGAGCGAAAATTGCGACACCGTGTGTGCACCGTGGACCATGTGCTGCTGTTTCCCTTTGGTCCGCGCTGCTTCGTGTGCAGTGTGTCATGGGGTTTAGCCCTGCATGCCAAGCTGTGCAAAGCAAAGCTGTCAGGCACGGCGGTTTGCATGCAGAGTGTGAGCTGAGCGCGGCCAGATGAAAGACTGCATCTTTAGCCAATTGGCTTGTGCGTAACAACCGAATGGACTTCGCGACGCACGAGTTTATATACGCACAAGTCGATTAGCTGAGGATGAAACTTCACGTGCAGTGTGTCACAGCCTTTAGAGTGGCAACCCTCCTGAAGAGGAACCTCATTGTTTTCAATGGCCCACATTCACATTGTGTCACAATCTGTGCATGTAATGAATGTAGTACACACACATTGTTCAGTATGTATTGAGGAGAGTGCCGGGCGCTGGAGCAAGCCTTCCAGCCCCCTGCACGGGGACACCGCCTAGTTCTGCAGGACCTTGGGATCTTGTTTAAATCACAGGACAGTTCTGTGGGATGCAGAATGGTTTGGGGGGGGGGGAATGTTATGAAATGGGTATCACCAAACTGAAAAGGAATGGGAGACATTATCCTGGTGACAAGCCATACAGGCCAGGTAGTGGGCAGTCTTAATTTACTCAGGATAGGTCTAGAACTTGGCAGGAGAGTACCCGTGATGGCGACAGATGGCAGGAATGTCCGGAGAACTGTGCGATTGGTGCAGCATGCAAAGCGTGTACAGGTGTAAGAGTGATTGTATAGTGGGAGTTGCCCGATCAAAAGGGAATGAGGCTAGCTAGTCCGTGCTCCTTCTCCAGGAGACAAACAGCTGTGGATAGACATGCAAGGCGCATATGGACTGGCCTGTATGGTCCTGTGGACAGGCACTGTAGACTGGCCTGTCTGGTCCTATAGACAGGCCAATGCCTGAAGGTAAGGTGATGGGGAGAAACCCTGTGAAGAAAAGACCTGATGTAATAGTGTTTTGTTAATGCAGGAGCTCTAAAACATACTTTCCTTTGCGGACTGAGTTCCTGGAAAGCTCTCCATTACCAGCTAATCCTCACAACTGGTGGAGGATGCGGGCAGAAAAACAAGTACCTTCTGCTTGGAGTCTGCTGATTAGAACAGTCCATATGTGCTTCTAGCAAAGTCATCCTAAATATCACCTTTTAAAGTAAAAATATCAATGTAGGAACATTCCAATGTGAGCTTTGTAAGAATATTTGTCCCAGGCGCTCAAAGCTCTGTGGACACATGTGGAGTTATTCTACTCCAAGGCTTTATAAAGGGTGCAAAGCTGGAAGTGCTTCATCCTTTTCCCATCTCGGTGCTGCCGATCTCCAGCCTCTTTCAGACGACTTCCTGTCGTTCCAGCATTGGATGCAATCATTGTTCTGGACCAACTTCCCGACAGAAAAAACAATAAACCATACATACAGTATGTGTCAGCAAGGCCACTTGCACAAGGGGAACACGTGACAGTGGTGACAAGGCAGAACAATTGGGAGACAGTTGTCACCCCATAACAGGAAGTGCCTGAACCAGGACCATCATGGCAGGATTACTGAGTATTACTGTGACAAAGGATGCAGATTTGAAAACAAGTTTTCAATTGACAGTATCATGTTAAAGTAGTATTAAAGGCTGGGTGTTGTTTGCCTTAATTCATTCTCTGCATTAAGGCAAAAAACACCCAGCACTTTTCTAACACCCCCATCTCCCCCACACTTACCTGCAGCAGCTCCTCTCCTCTGCCGCAACCAGGAAGATACTCGGGGTTCCCCAAACTTTCTGCTGTGAGGGAGGGTACTGAGGGCAGAGGAGCCACAGACCAGTCAAGCTGTGGCTGCAAGGGTGGGGGTGTGGCCGGCCACGTGCTGTGTGTCTATGGATGCACACA